CATATCTGAGGTTATTGATATTCCTCCCGGCAATCTTGATTCTAGCTTGTGCTTCTTCTAGCCCAGCATTTCTCATGATGTACTCTGCATATAAGGTAAATAAGCAGGGTGACAACATACAGCCTTGACGTACTCCTTTTCCTATTTGGAACCAGTCTGTTGGTCCATGCCCAGTTCTAACTGTTGCTTCCTGACCTGCATATAGGTTTCTCGAAGTTAAGGTCAAGTGATGGTAAATAACTGTGCAAGACTGTATACTTAGTGACAGGAGCTGCACAGAAAAAGCTCTTTCTTAAGCCATAGTCCTGATAACGGCGATTACAATCATTTCAGTTTAGCTAAAGACTCATACATCTCACATCGAAAGAGAAAAGCTTTTCCCCTACTTATTTCAAAACAACAAAATTTTATTATACTTCTTGTAAGATGAATTATTCCCCTACAAAATGTAATGAATTTATGCTGTGCCATGTTTTGGCTGCTATAATAGGCTTAACATATTTCTGCTATTAGGAATAATTAAGGACCTGAATCTACTGCCTACACAAGGAGGTAATGATTCCTCTTTCCTAGAGTTCTCTCAATAGGAACTAGATCAATAAACAACTTTATGAGGGATAAAAGCTGAGAGATCAAAAGAAATTTCTAGAAAAGCTACTGGAGCCACTCAGCCACTAAGGGACATTTAAATAATTCCAAAAAGTTTTAGCTCTCTTTTAAAACATCACTTATTTTAAGAGAAGTTCTTTTTTTAATTTAAAAATTCCCTGAATTATTGCTTGCCTTTTCGTAAATCACTGAAGTATAGTACTATACTTCATTGCTAAATTTAAATGTAGTAGTCAACTTAGCCACAAGAGGGTTTTTCCAGTTGTGTGAGTCACAAGTTGAGGCGCTGAAAGCTATGTTTATTTGTTTTTTAAAAATTTCTATTGGAGTATAGTTGCTTTACAATATTGCGTGAGTTTCTGCTGTACAGAAAAGTAAATTAGCTATATGTTATACATATATCCCCTTCTTTAGTTGCCTAGTTTTTAGTTTTTCAGAGTTCCCTGTGCTATATATTAGGTTCTCATTAGATATTTATTTTATACATATGTGTGTGTGTGTGTGTGTGTGTGCATGTGTGTACACCCAGTCGTGTCCAGCTCTTTGCGATCCTATGAACTGTAGCCAACCAGGCTCCTCTGTCCATGGAACTTCCCAGGCAAGAATACTGGGATGGGTTGCCATTTCTTTCTCCAGGGGATCTTCTGACCCAGGGATTGATCTCCCAACTCTTACGTCTCCTGCACTGAGGCAAGTTCTTTAGAAGCTGAGCCATTAGAGAAGTGCATTTTATACATCAGTTCAGTTCAGTCAGTCTGTGTGTGACTCTTTGAGACCCCATTGACTGCAGCATGCCAGGCTTCCCTGTCCATCACCAACTCCCGGAGCTTGTTCAAACTTAGGTCCATCGAGTCAGTGATGCCATTCAACCATCTCATCTTCTGTCATCCCCTTATCCTCCTGCCTTTTATCTTTCCCAGCATCAGGGTCTTTTCAAATGAGTCAGCTCTTCCCATCAGGTGGTCAAAGTATTGGAGTTTCAGCTTCAACATCAGTCCTTCCAATGAATATTCAGGACTGATCTCCTTTAGGATGGACTGGTTGAATCTCTTTGCAGTCCAAGGGACTCTTAAAAGTCTTCTCCAACACCACAGTTCAAAAGCATCAATTCTTTGGTGCTCAGCTTTTCTTTACAGTCCAATTCTCAAATCTATACATGACCACTGAAAAAACCATAGCCTTGACTAGACGGACCTTTGTTGGCAAAGCAACGTCTCTGCTTTTTCATATGCTGTCTAGGTTTATACATAGTGGAGTACACATGTCAATCTCAATCTCCCCATTCAATCATCCCTCCCTTCCCCGCTTTGTAACCATGTTTGTTCTCTACATCTATGTCTCTATTTCTCTTTTGCAAATAAGTTCACCTGTACCACTTATAAGTGACATTATACAATACTGTTTTTCTCTTTCTGACCTACTTCTCTCTACATGACAGTCTCCAGGTCTCTCCATTTTTCTGGAAATGGCACTACTTTATTCCTTTATGACTGAGCAATATTTCATTGTATTGATGTACCACACCAAAAAATATCTTTAAACAAAAGGGCATATTGGCCAGTGGATGGGTTAGTTGGCATGGTTAACTTAAGTGAAATTATCTGGGAATTGCAGTAAAAATATCACTCTACTATATTTTCAATAGAAACTCTTTTGGCTCACCTCTTTGTAGAGGCGGTTGGTATCATTCTGAGTGACACAGAGGCTAATTCTAAAATGTCATGAGAAGGTTAATTTCATTCACAGAGTCGGCTATCTCTGGTTCACAATTTTTTCTTTAATTCCTTTAAGATTCTATCTCTTATCCATAAACAGAGACTATAGTACTTAACAAGAGTTATGAAGATCAACTGAGATAGAAGGAACTTAACTTATGCCTGGTATTGAGAATTACTCATAAATGGCAATTAAAATTGTTGTTGTTGTTTATCACCAACACATTTACTAAGGGATACTAAATAGACTTGTTCTGCAAAATAATCTTTCAACACAGGTGATTACGTGGTTGCTAATATTTCAATCTTGAAAATGTCTCCAGGTCCAAATTAGTAGAAGGGTGATATCAAAAAAGGAAAGTTGACAATTCTTATGTCTACTTTAACATACAGTCATGTCACTGACAACGGTTATGAATAAAAGTCTTGCAAATTCAATACTTAACCATTCACTAGTGGCAGGGCTATTTAAAATAACAGTTCACCTTTCTGCAATTCAAACTTATGATTTAGACTTTCATTTTCCATGCTTAGCTCTTTATTTCCTTTGATCAAGCTGGTCAATCTTTTGCCCTCATGTTCTCATCTTTAAGAAATATTGAAGTTGAAAGATAAGTTTTATTTTCTGAAGGAAAAATACTGTCGTCTCAGCTAGTTAATAAATCAGAAAAGCAGCAGATGGTGGTGGACATGTTGAAAGATGGAAGGAGAGGACACTGGGAAGTGGAGAGAGGCAGTTATGTAAATGTCATGGGCTTTTCCAGCTGATTGCTTTTTAGAACTCTGCCATTATAAGTTTTACAAATATCATATCAAGTCTCATTATGGGTGACCACTGACATCCTGAAAGACACCTGTTAAAAAAGTAAGACACAAATGTCTTCATCTGGAAAAAGGAAACCTGAGGATAGATATAGGAAGAAGACACAATGGGAAGAGAAAGCATGGTTTTAGGCACTAAATCCTGAATACAACTAGACATACATGGAAGCATCTTTTTAAGTGTGAAGGAAGTAATTTAACCCAAAGACAGAGTAGAATGACTGCACAAAGTCACATAGAAAACTGGTGTGGGAATCAGAATCAGAAATCTGATATGATTACATTTCTAGATAGAGACACTAATATATCTGAGAAAAATAATACAAACATCCCATATTGGGAGCTCAGGGGTATTGGATACAATGTACAACATGAGCCCTTTGATGTAACTTTGGTAAAACCATTAAGCCAACAGCATCTACCTAGGGCTTTTGGTGATGACTAAATCTCTCCAAGAAATAATAAGCAACACCACCGCATCCATCATCTTCTTGGGTAAATTCATCTACCCCATGCATGACCTCTACCATATATATGTCTAGCAACTTTTGTCTCAATTAGACCGAAAAAACTGAAAATTGTTGTTGAGAGGTAGAAATCAAGGTCAAAGACATGATAAGCAAACACTGCTACATAAAAGTGGGCAATGCAACTTATATGTATTATCTCAAACACTTTATTTAGGTGTTAAAGTTCAGAATTATAGGATATTATTCTACTTCAGAAAAAAGGGACACAATGTGGATAGTTTACTTATAATACTGAATATAATATGAATGCTATGTAAATAGTTCCGAGTGTACAGCAAAGTTTGGATGGACATGAGTTTGAGCAAGCTCCGGGAGTTGGTGATGGACAGGGAAGCTTGGCATGCTGCAATCCATGGGGCTGCAAAGATTCGGACATGACTGAGCAACTGAAATGAACTGAATGTGGACAGACCCTATCCATAGCCTACTACCTTACCATACAATGGGGTCTGGATGTGATTCACTCTCTCCAATGTAAAGTAATGTGCAAGGTGAAAACAGACCAACAACATAATTTGTCCTTCTTCAGAATGTAATAATTTTCTATTTTCTTAGTGGCTTTGTTAGTTATAGGCTGACATCAACCACCATCTCAACAACCTGACAGAACAGGGTCAGCCACTTGAGATCCTGGAGGGAGAATGAAAAGAACAAAAACCAAAACCCACGAAAAAAGCAGGAAAAAACCCAGCACTGACTAAAGACTGGCAAAAGTGAAAATATCAGCACATAAGCTTAAAACTTAGAAAATCATATATACATATATGTCAGTTACTTCTGTTAGGCAGGATATACAAAGTCTTCAGGCCTACTCTCTCACTTAACTTTGCTGGAGGCTGGTGGTATTTTTCCAACTCTACGTTCAGGTTGTATGAGAAAATGTCCACAGAAACCATCAGAAATACAGTTGACCCTTTGTATCTGCATGTTCAACATCCACATATTCAGCCAAACAAGGATTAAAAATATTTGGGGAGAAAAATTCAGAGAGTTCCAAAAAAAAAAAAACCTTGCAATTATTGTACACCCAGAACTATTTACATAGCATTCATATTCTATTTGGTATTATAAGTAATCTCGAGATGATTTAAAGTATATGAGAGGATGTGTGTAGGTTCTATGCAAATATTATGCTGGTTTATATAAGGGACTTGAGCATCCTCAGCTGTGGTATCCTTTAGGGGTCCTGGAACCAATCTCCATGGATACTGAGCAACAGTTATATATATTATACAAACAAGGGGACATTAACCACAGCACCTCACATTCACTGTTCTGATTGGATAGACCTCATTGACTCATTTGCATAAATCATGGTACTCACCAATGGTGTAGAACCTCTTCAGCTCACTTCTTCGGGAAGGATGTTTCTGGGAATTTGCTGTGTTGTTCTGTTCTTCTTCAATGATGGGTGTCTTGGGTGCCGGGGGTTTACTGGCTTGTGGCATTTGCTTTCCTGCACCAGCCAAAGGGTTGAACCCTGGAGCAGTAATATCCACTGACTGGGACTTTTTCTTCAACCTACAGGTAGAGCAAACCACATGTGATAACTCCTGACTCCAGAGAGACACACAATTTTTTTTTTTCACATTTATCTCCATCATAATTTTTTTTCAACAACAGAGCTACATTTGGCCTTGAAAGAGAGCAAGCTTTATTCAGAAATTACAGATCTTCCCTGCTGCTGCTAAATCACTTCAGTCATGTCCGACTCTGTGCGACCCCATAGACGGCAGCCCACCAGGCTCCCCCGTCCCTGGGATTCTCCAGGCAAGAACACTGGAGTGGGTTGCCATTTCCTTCTCCAACAGATCTTCCCTACAGTATTTTAAATCCTTCAAATATTTTTGAAACCAGCCAAGGGGAGGGGATCTTCTAATCAGAACATTTCATTAAAATACATTCAAACGTAAGGTGATAAAGGACTTCAACTGTTTGAAATAGCAAACTAAAATCTGGCTTCAGACAAACACAATGCACGGAGCAACTGCTTGAAGTTTTGAACGGAGTATTTTTTAATGTCACAGTAAAATATTAGTTAGAAACAAATAACTGCAACTGCCAGAAGAATAATGAAATGTTTATCTGTATAACTAGAGGCTGCCAGTGCTTTTCTGTTTCATTGGTAACAGCATCTTTGCTGGAAAAATTATAGAGATTATACTGTTTCTCCAGATACACTCAATGACAGTAAGTATACTACCGCTCATCCTAAACTTTAGAGAGCGGACATCAGGTCTAACAGGAAAAGCAAAAGGCCACGCAAGCATGAGAACATTTTTCTTGGTGTAAAAATAATTGGTAAGTGATATGCCTTAAATTCAAATACTGCAAGCTAAACAACCTGATATTTGTAATGTAACTGAACCCTAAGCCCAGCATACCCTCGGCGCTTGGTACTTTTGGAGGCTAATGTTAAGTGTCATTTTTCAAGCCTTAATTCCCTACAGAAAACTAGTTGACAGTTTTATCAGTTATGGTAATCAAACATGCACATTTGCAATTTCCTAAAAGTTTCATAAAACTTCACACTTCCAGGTTTTATTCAAGTTTTTCCAGTGTATTAGCTCCACTTTCTGCCCCACTGGTCAGACCCTGCTCCTGCTTCTACACTTGCTTTAGATGTGGCTTTCTCTTGGACACTTTCTATGACATAGGCCTTGGTGGCCTGACACCACTCTGCATGGGAAGTTATTCATAATGAGCTCTCAACAAGCCTTTATTAAACTGAATTTATCAGAGCAAAATCTTTGTTAAAGGAATGGAATATACCAATTAGTAAAAGATTCTTTAATGAAAGCAGTGTTTATTCAAATTTAGTCATTTTATTATCACCTGTAGGATATCTGCTATATTTCAGTTCAGTTCAATTCAGTTCAGTCGCTCAGTCATATCCGACTCTGCAACCCCATCGACGGCAGCACATCAGGCTTCCCTGTCCATCACCAACTCCCAGAGTTTACTCAGACTGATGTCCATTGAGTCGGTGATGCCATCCACCCATCTCATCCTCTGTTGTTCCCTTCTCCTCCTGCCTTTGATCTTTCCCAGCATCAGGGTCTTTTCAAATGAGTAAATTCTTCGCATCAGATGGCAAAGTATTGGAGTTTCAGCTTCAGCATCAGTCCTTCCAACGAAAATTCAGGACTGATTTCCTTTAGGATGAACTGGTTTACATACTACCTATGTGATCTACTTAATATTCATGAAAATTGACTTGCTTTATGAAAATTGCCAACAAATATATTAACAAGTGCTTGAGAGCACTAGTCATGAGAAACATAAATTAAGACCACTTCACACTCAAAACAGAACCACCAGAATGGCTAAAATGTCAAAGACGTGACATGAAGTGTAGTGATGAAGCGCAATTGGAATTCTGGGACATTGATGGTGGAGACCACTCTGGGCAAATTCCTGCCACGATCTTAGCTGAAGGCATGCATCTTTTGAGCCACTCATTATATTCTTAGCATTTATCCTACACAAATACAGACATATTCACCAAAAGGCCCAATCAGGAATATTCATAGAAGCACTATTTATGAATACATAAATATCAGAAACAGCCCAAATGTCTTACCAACAGTAGAAATGGGTAAATAGGTTGTGATAATACTCATAAAATGGAATTTCATACAGCTCTGGAAATGAAAGAACTACAATTGCTTGTAATGACATGGATGGGTCTCATAAAAATAATGTTGAGCAAAAGGAGACAAAGGCTCATGCTATAGAATTCAATTTATATAAAGTTCAGATAGAACTATCAAACTCTCTATGCTATTAAAAGTGTGGATAGTGGGGAGTTATTACATTGACGGGCTTTCCAAGTGGTACAGTGTTAAAGAATCCACCTGCTAATACAGGAGGTACAAGAGACACAGGTTTGATCTCTGGGTTGGGAAGATCTCCTGGAGAAAGAAACGGCAACCCACTCCAGTAGTCCTGCCTGGAAAATCCCATGGACAGGAGAACCTGGCCATGAGGTTGCAAAGAGTTGGACATGACTGAGCTATTGAGCACACACACATATATTGACAGAGACATGAATGGCTTTCTGGGACTCTGGTACTGTTCTGTTTCCCGATCTGGGTTTTGGGTACCAGGATGTGTTTACTTTGTGAAAATCTAATCATCTACAGTTTCTGCATCTTTTCTGAGTATACACTATATTCCAATAGAGTCTCCATTGGAAATTGGCTGAATTTTTAACTTATTCATTTAAAATCAAGATTATATATAGTTACTGAATAGCTGCTTGCCCCAAAGCAGTAAGAAAAAGGAAACAGAATGATTGGGGACAGTAAAAAGAAACAGAATGAAAGTCTTGCCTCCAGCCTCCCAAAGATGGCCAGAGTAGAGTGAATCTAAAGAAGAATCCTTTCCTCACTGGGTTGGCTGTACCTCATCCCCCTGCTTTCCAGGGACTGAAAGGGGCTATTCATTCATTCCTTGAAAGGCTACTTTGCATCAGCTAATATTTTTGGACCAGGAACACACAGTAAACACAAAGGGGCAAAATATCTGCCATCATGGAATCCTCATTCTCATGGAGGGAGACAGATAATAAGTAACAAAACAAACCAATATATAACCAATCAGGTGGTGAAAATGCTGTGGCTTAAAATAGAGGAAAAGGGACAGCAAGCAAAGGTGTCCAAGCGTATTGTTACATAAAGGACAGCCAACAGAGGGCTCTCAGACCATCAGACTTTTAAGAAGAGACCTGAAGGAAGAAGCTGTGAGCAATTTGGGGAGCAGTATTTCAGCAAATGGGGAACTTGTTTCTCTGTGTTAGAGGAACAAAGTGACTGGAGGAGAGAAGCAGGAGATGAGGTCAACAAGATGCCCCCCATCAACAAGAAGGGGGGCAGGGGAAAGAGGACAGATTATATAGAGCTTCAGGGTCATTTAAGAATGAGGCCAGGAGAGGGTCTGATCTAAGGAGGCATGTACGATGACTGTATTTTAAAACACTTTGTTTGCTTTGCTGAAATCAGGTTGAAGGCTGTATCTCCAAGTTAAGAAAACTGCATGCAATGACCTTCAAGGAGTCAACACCAAAAATCACTTAGAATACCACATACTTGAGTAGACCAGGTTTTACCTTGCCCAGGATTATGTACTTATTAATGCTGTGATCCTTCAACATCCCCATTCTTGTCCGAGTCTGGAGTTTATGTACTGTAGCTATAAGTTACAGTAGTACTGTGAGCAGCATTAAGATCATTTATTTATTATTATTTATTAAGAAATAAAGTGAAGGTCATCGAGGCAACAACTTTGATTTGTTCCAATATGGTTTTCCAGAGAAGCACACTTAGGCATACAAAGATGTAGACTACACTGAAAATAAATTAAACCCGAGAAACTCTAAGAAATCACCAATATTTGACCATTTTTACCTACAGAAATGTTAATTCTCTATAGGGCATTTTACAAACTTTATTTCAAGATCAAACTTGAGTTTCAGCATAAAGCAAGTTTTTCTTGGGGGGAGGGGTGGAAGATGGGGTGTGAAGGAGTAGGGATCGAAAAGAAAGGTGCTACATTTTACTGAAAGAAATCCAACTGCTCTTTGCATGTGTGAATGCTTTGTGGCTCAGTCATGTCCAACTCTTTGCAACCCCAGGGACTGTAGCCTGCCAGACTCCTCTGTCCATGGAATTTTCAAGGCAAAAATACTGGAATGGGTTGTCATTTCCTTCTCCAGGGGATCTTCCCAACACAGGTATCAAACTCACATCTCCTGCATTAGCAGGCAGATTCTTTACCAGAATCACCTGGGGAATCCAACTGCTCTTTAGTTCTCAGCAAATATTATTTTCAAAATGTAAATGTGACAAGTTTTACCTTCAATCCACACAGCAAACTATTTCATCACCAGAAACTGCTTACATTTTATGCTGGCATGTTTTAGAATTGATCAGAGTTGCTAAATTTATGTCTCACACTAGAGGACATCAGCAATGAATCTTAGATATTTGATAAAGGCTTGATACTTAATTAATGACATTCTCTATCACTTCAAATACCTAAGTACTCTACAAATCCTTTTATAGCCTCTGGAGTAAGCAAAGGACAAATGCAAGCAGTCTATATTTTCTGTATTTTCCCTCTTCTTTCTGCTCTTTCCCACCAGACACTCACCCCAATCAAAACTTGAAGGTGTCATGTTTTCACTGTTGTCGCTGGAGTCTGGAATGCTGCTAGTAGGTGTGTGGGCTTGCTTAACGAAAGACTTCTATTTGCATGATCTTAGAAAGGAGAACTGTGGGTAACTGAATTACTCCTTTAAGGATTCTAAAAATGACTACTGTGGTTGACAAGGAAACCTGCTAAATGCTACCTTCAATTTCCATATTTCATGAAAGGGGAAGTCTTTGTAAATTTTTAACAATGTTCTTAATTAAATGTGTTAAACAAATGTAAATATAGCATAATG